TGGGAGGGAGAGTGGAAGGGTGACCAAGGTATAGTCCAGGACTGCAGAACATTCACAGTGTAGAACTGTAGACAGGCACAATAGGCCACCACACAACAATATGAGAGTCAAGTGACAGAGGAGGGCATGAGGTGCTCTCTGCGCTCTGGGGAGGAGAGCCTCACCATCCTTAGGGAAGTATGTATGTGTGTGTGTGTGTGTGTGTGTGTGTGTGTGAAGGCATTCTGGGGAAGGTGATATCTGAGCTGTGACTTAATTAAGACAGTAGGAGGTGATCAGGGGCTGGGACCAGGCAGGGCAGAGAAAGGCATTCCCCACAGGAAGGAAGGGTGAGGAAGAGTGAGGAAGGGCCTGAAGGGCCGAGCATCCTAGGTCGTAGGGAGCTGTTAGTCCATTGACAGGCATTTCCTGAGTGTCGGGCCCTATGCTAGATATGCAGGATGCAGAGATGAGCACAACCTGTCCTCATGAAGCTTATATTCTTCTGCAAGCATGTCAAACTCAAAGGCTAACACAGGCCAAACACATGAGGCATGTGGCCCACGGGCCATGAGTTTGATATGCTTGTTCTAGTGGAATAGAACTTTTTTAAAGCTAAGGAGTGATTTGACTTGAACTCTTTAAAGCTAGGAGGGCCTTAACAAGAACAGGAACCTCTAAGTTGAAAAGTGAGGAATTTATTTGAGAATTACTTAGGGGGCCTACTCAGGGGCGAAAATGAGCAAAACTTGATGCCTGACTGTGTGGTGGGGACGGGGAGAATGTGTCCCAGGTGGTTCTGAAATTGATGCCATGGATGGATGGGCTTATACCCACTGGGATCAAGAACAAAGGTAGAATGTATAGAAGGTTTGGTGGAAAGAGTTTAGCTTGGACTAGCCGAGTGACATGGACATCTCTGTATGGAGATTGGTTTAGCAGCAGTTGGCCATACAAGTCCAAAGACCAAAGAAAGAATCCAGAGACATAAATTTTGTAGCATAGGGGTGATAATTCATATCACAGCAGTGAAAGGATTTGTCTAATGAAAAAAACGACAGGAAGCCCTGAAGTATGTCCAAAATTAAGGCACAAATAGGAAAAAAAAAAAAAAGTCAAGAAGGAAAAAAGCCATCAAATGGATAGCTTCTTTCAGGTGGAAGGAGAGTTTGGGAAGTTGCAGTGTGTCTGTGGGAAGGTTGATGGGACAGTTTAATTCGCTGAGCACAGATGGAGTACTGAGTGTGCCCTCTACATTGTGCTGAGCTAGGAAAGAACAAGACAGGGAAGATTCATATACTAGCCTGGCTCTGGAGGAGCCTGTAGCTAAGGAGGTCATCGCTTCTATGTCACTACTTGACACTGGCTCTCAATGTCAAGTTAGAGTATAGACTCCATGATCTCACAGGTCTTTCCAGCCCTAGTTTCTTCATCTAGCCCAGTGAGCATCTCTTGGAGAAGTGGTTCTCAAATACTTCAAGAATCACATACCCCTTTGAGAATCTGATGACAATGCTGATAGTTATGGACACTATCCCAATGGGAGGGAAATGTAAGTATGTACATCATCACACTTATTGTTAAAATAAGAATTCCCCCTTCTATAGAATGTCTGTGGACTTTAAATTAGGACCTCTTGTCTTAACAGATTTTCAGTAGATGAGAACATAGACATTGCTTGCTCTGAAATTATATACATTGAAGAAAAGAGCCTCTTTGGGACTTAATTTAGAACCATGACTAAGGTTTGCTGTACATCTACTGGTAATGCAATGCATCATTGATTTTATTCTGTCAGCTTTATTTTACAAGTGGCCCCAAGCAACTCACAACTTCACAGATATATGATGTACATAATCAAATGCACATATTTTATTTTAAAAACAATAATGATGTTCGGTGTAACCACATTACAGTCACAGAGATATGATCTTGCCACCGAGTCTCTGGTGGATGGATTTGGGGGGAGTTTTCTGATTAGGGCTGTCCTACATATTTATACTCGCAGAGTTCATGAGCTATTTCTGGTCCTGAGACTTTAATCATGCTTAATGAACTGAGCTAAACATAATTCTTGTTCTGTTTTGGTAACCTTGCGGATTCTCTTAATGCTGCTCAGCTTCATGTGAAGACACTGTTCTTGAAATGCTAATATCCAAAATGCTAATTCAATAGGGGGCCCACAAAAGTTAGATTTCATTTCAGAGAGAGTGCACTCCATACCAACAGGCCTTTCGAGGGCTGAGGGAGGCAGTGAGAAGAATGAGATTAGGTGGGAAATATGGGCTCCTACTTTTGGAGAACACAAAAATTGAAACATAGAGGTTGCACAAAATTTGGATAAACTGAGGTGGAATCCAACATTTCTTGCATGAACGCCTGTATAATGTGGCGATAGCTGTGAGAAAAGAGAAGCCCGGCATCTAAGACCCAACACAATGAAAATGCAATGAATCGGAATGCCTCACAGATCATAGCGGAATCAGAATTTCCAGCAAGGAAAATCTTTTCATGGTGAATTAAGTGGTGGATGAAGAAAAATGGTGATGAAAAAAGGTAGGAGCAGATCACAAACACTGGGCTCAGGGCTCACCGCTGAAGATTTAAGAACCTTAGCTAAAGCTATGCAGAATAGAATGTGGGAAATTGAATTTACTAAACAATTAAGCATTGAATTAATCTAAATCATGCACAGTGGAGGTGTGGGGGAGGGAGCAGAGCAGAGCTGAATAAATCAGCGGAGCTCATTAAAAGATAGTGAATATATCAGGTCTGTGGTAGCAGAAAGGAGGACAGTTCCCTGTGTCGCCTGGCATCATTCTTTGGTTCTAAGTCACCTTTCTGGAGCCCTGGTCCTAATCAGATTATCAGACACGCTTCTGATGAGGTGAGTCTGTGGCTCTGTGTTTTTGCTTGTTACCACTCGCTCGCCTATTAATTACAAGTCGGATCAGCAGTCCGAGGGAGTAGTGAGGGACAACATAAATAAAATGAGAGTGCCCAGGAGATGTCACTCGCAGGATGGCGTGCATCCTTGAAACTCCCACGGGTTCCTGCAGCCTCCCACATGCCTTGCTGGTCTTTTGTTCAATTACAGTTAATGCAATAGTTTGCCATTTTCTCCTTCTAATTATATTTTCAAGTGGGATTTGTAGCACATAGAAAAACATCCTTTTGCATGTCGAGGCACCGGGGTTTTGTGCCTGGCATTGTCTGTCCCCTGGGTGCTGTACCATTCTTTCTGCAGAGCTCTGAATAAACAAGTCCCCCCTTTTAGAGCTGCAGTTGTCCAAACTGAAAATTTATGCGTTTAACTGTTTGCATTCTGGGCATGTGTTCCAGAGTACGGCTTACCGCATTCTCCTGGTATGCCGAAGAATGCGTGTCGATCCAGAGCCCTTCTTTTCACAGTTCCCCCATCTCCCCATCACAGGACCGGCAGGTCAATTAGCACTGATGCTGAGAATAACCATAATGGCCAAGCCCAGCATACCAGGGGCAAATCTTCCTGTGACTTTATTTCATTTCCCAGGCCGTGGCAATCTTCTGGCCAAGATGAAAGAATCGGCCAAAACCGGTTTGGCTTAGTGGATAGAGCGTAGGTCTGTGGACTGAAAGGTCCCAGGCTCGAATCTGGTCAAGGGCATATACATTGGTTGTGGGCACATCCCCAGTAGGGGGTGTGCAGAAGGCAGCTGGTCAATGTTCCTCTCTCATCAACGTTTCTAGCTATCTATCCCTCTCCCTTCCTCTCTGTGGAAAATCAATATATATAGTGACCGAATTGGTTGCAGGCCAGCATCCTTCTCATGGGGCAGTCAGTCTCTCCCTGCTTCTTACAGAGCATGCCTTTGAGGTGGCATCTTTCCTTCTCTTGCCCTGGCTGTCTGAAACATTTTGATCTCTTCAGCGCCCTCCCTTATCTTCTCTGGGACATGAAAATGCTTTTCAAGAAATTAGCTAAGAGCACTTTGGTGTTGCTTGCGCCTATTGAAAATCCTGGGAGGGCTGATAAACTTGATCACTTATAACACAGTCATGACCCGTTGACTGACTGAAAGGGATGTGGACATACTTTACATACAAGATCACCCTGCTTTCCCACTAATCGTCTGGAAGGCAACTATCGCTTCCTGGAAGACAAAACCAAGACCCAGCTCTCTATTTTGCATCATCCCTACTGGGCTGCGGATGACCAGTGACTTTGTTTTTGAAAGCTAGCACTAAAAGCTAATTAAAATCTTTTCTGGCGATAAAGGGAGATTTGGGGGGAAGTGTCACCATGATTGTTTTCCCCAAGAATTTAATTTACAGCCAATTTTTTTTTTTTCCTATCTGAATGTTACTTTCAAACACACCCACTGATAAGAAGCAACATCTGTTTTCCGTTCAATAGTACATGGAGCTCGGCATGGGGCTGAGTGTACACAGCCCGAGCGAATCTATTGTTAACCTTGTCTCTTTTTTGTCCCCGTGCCTGGTCCATTTGCCATGTACCATCCGGCAAACAGCTGACACATACTTGCTATTATGGACCCCGGCCTAATTGTGAGGTCTTAAAAGCTCTGCCATGTTTGTCTTCCAGGATGAATCAGAGGCCGCTATCTATCACCGCCGCCTTATGGACCCCCGCTCTCATTTCTGCGTTTTCAGAGTGGCAGGCTGTTGTGCCAGAGGGTTTGTTGATGTTAAAAATAGTCAGGATCAAGTGGCAGCATTTCTCTCCCCCCACTCCCACCCACCCCCCCTTCTTGCTTGGAATGTTTTTGTTTTCCTTGGTAATAAAGCATGCAGTTACTTACAGAATAACTATTTGTACATATCGTTTCAGCTTAGAAGCAGAAATGGGCCAATTTTCAATGTTGCCAGCGGAGCTCTGAGCTGGCAGCGTGTGGTCAGGGGGATGGGGAAGATGGCACAGCTGGCCCTTCTACCTTCCGTGGCCCGGTCCCGCGGTGGGATCTGGTGGGACCAGTGGGGGCAGACCGCTCCATTTGGATTTCTGATTTGTGTCCCCACAGCCCTCCTGGAACAGAGATCATGATGACACGGCATCCACCCGTTCGGGAGGTACCCCCGGCCCTTCCAGCGGTGGCCACACATCACACAGCGGGGATAACAGCAGTGAGCAAGGTAGGAAAGCTGTTCTCCTGATTCTCCTTTGCTATGTGTTTCATGTTGAAGGGTTGGAAAACAGCAGAGTAGTCTAGTTGGTAACTGTTATACAGCTTTTCCTCGAACATAAACCCCATGTCCTAGAAGAATCTGCTCCTCTTAACGTTACGCCCCTATCCTTCCCTTCTCCTATGCCAGGCCAGCTGCCCACCTGTCACCCGGGCACCTCCTTCCAACAGGGCCAGTGACTCAACTGAGGGCAAGACTGGAGAAGTCAAAGTTGGAATGTGTGTGGACAGTAGGCTACTAATACTGTCCCACAGAAATAAAAAGTATTATTATGATTTGCCCTTAGAGGAATTTTCAAGTGCGCATGAAGACACCCAGTAGGATTCCAAGTTAGCAATGCCCTAAAATGCTTAGAAGGCGGCAGCGGGCCTTTCAGAAACCCATGTTAGGGGTCCCTCTCCATTGGGTTGAAGCCATTCTTCTGCAGTTGCTTATCTGAATCTCTTAAGTGCTTGGCTTTATTGCAAGGCCGGACTACCGGGAATTAGGAAGAAAGGGAAAGAAACCAGATCACTTTGGTTTGTGTTGCTCTCTCAATACACATACCCATGGATGGACCAGTCTGATCAGAACTCGTAGGAAATAAAGTTTTGGCCTGAAACCAATCTTCAGCCAAAAGGTGGGAGAGTATTCAGATGTCTTGCATTGATTTTGATGGGACCAGCGGCACTGGCTTTTGTGTTCCATGAATGCAACCAACGTTGAAAAGAGCCTCCTTTAGCTGGCACCGGTTTGGCTCAGTGGATAGAGCATCAGCCTGCGGACTGAAAGGTCCTGGGTTCGATTCCGGTCAAGGGCATGTACCTTGGTTGCGGGCACATCCCCAGTAGGGGGTGTGCAAGAGGCAGCTGGTCGATGATTCTCTCTCATCGACGTTTCTAACTCTCTTTCCCTCTCTCTTCCTCTCTGTGAAAAATCAATAAAATATATTTTTTAAAAAATAAAAATAAAAATAAAAGAGCCTCCTCTATCAGAATCCGTAAAGACAGCTGTATTGAGGGTGGTTGAGCCCACAGTAGATAGGTCGACTGAGCCCAAATGGGCTTCGATGATCACATTTCATTGGAGTGCTGTTAGCCAGCAAAGTGATTTTGTTTTCTCATTTGAACGCTCTCTACCCAGTAGAACTGCAGTCCGCAGTGAAGTTAGCCTGATGAGTTTGAAAACAAAAAACAGGAAAGCTGATTTTTTTTTTTTAGGCACATGAATGCTATTTGGACTGGGAGTCCCTTTTTTTTTTTTTTTTTTTTTTTTTTTTTGGCATCTGAGACATGTTCTAGTTCAAAGCAGAGTCGCTGACTTCATCACAACGCTAAGGCTAGTAAAAATGGAGCCCGGAATAGTAAACGGGTTTGGAGCTGAGACAGAGGGAGGTGACCTCGGTCCTCTGACTTTTACGGGAAAACGATACGCAGCACAAATCCACGGGGCCTTTCTTTTCCGGGGTGTGTGTCTGCTGTCCTGGTGCCATGGCTCACGGCGCCATAGCTGGGGTGACGCCAGTGCTGGCCCCAGAGAGCCTGCTTTCAGGATTCATCTTCCGCCGGGCGCCCCCCAAAAGGTGGGAATGGGATTGCAGTCCTTTATCCTGTTCTCCAAAACTGCTCCTGGGGGGTCATCGCCCAGGGCTTCCGTTTGGGTTTCTTTTTCTTTTTTCACTTCTGGCTTTTCAAGTATCTGTCATCCATGAGCACGCAGGTAGTCGAGCTGCCGCTGCGTTGAAGGCTTGGGAACAGCCAACATGGGCTTGAGTTTAAAATTATAACGGACTACGTTTATATCAACATAATCTGATAAAAGGGTTTTCAGAAGGTAAATGCCCCACCCGAGTCTTCCCTGCTGACATGTCATGACAAGTAACTGGGACTTTCCCATGCCCCTTTCCCTTCAACAGTGCTCTCCAAAGGCCCATTTGGCGATGGACTTGATTGTGATCAAGAGCCAGAGAGCCTTGACAATGCTTGAGTTTTCCACTTGCATTGTTTCTCGTAACCATTTTCATAAAAGACCACCACTTGTGGTTTTTTAAAGCATTTTTTTTTTCCACATACATCATCTCATTGACTCTTGGAATGATCTCAGTTGACCCTTTCTGAAACAGTCCGGGTGGCGGATAAACCAGGTCTAGCCCCATTGGACAGATGAGGGGAGAAAGGTCATGGGGAAGAATTTGTTGAAGTCCCGGTGCAGTGTCAGATCCTAAAATTTCGGTTTCCTGATTACTTGCATAAGAGTCTTGTCTTCATGCTCTCTTTCCCTGGCTCTCCACCAAAGAACTGGTTCTCCACCAGTTCCCTCCACCAAGGTCAAATAGAAACGTTCCATCCGGACCGACTTCCCCTTCCGCTCCCCCACCCGCTTGATAATACAGGTGTCAGGAGTGCCCCCGTTAGTCTTCCCTGCAGGCTGTCTTTGGCAGTGTGACTTATTCCTTGCTAAATGCAGAACGACGCCTAGAAGTGTTGCTGCAACAACGTATGTGCATTTCCATGCCAACCATGACCCTTCTAAATCTTCTTTTCATCCCTGAGGCCCGAGGAGCCGGGCCTCAGTGCAGCCTGGGATTAACTGTGCGCAGTGGCTTTCCCATGTTTTCCCTGCCTGCCTCTTCTGGCAGGCACGGGCGCGGAAGCTGTGCCAGCATTTGGCCCGTAGTGCATGTCCTAAACAGTTATTTACACAGTTTGAGTCCATTTCAGTCAACTGGGTAAATAACAGCCCTCTTCAAAAGATTTATAAATCCATAAATATGTCTTTATACATACCCAATAGACAGAAATAACTCAATCTGTCGAGAACATATCCAAAGAGGTGTTTTCCCCACAGACAGCAGTAATACATATTTTAAAACTTTCTCCACTGTATTATGTGTACTGCATTTCTTTTCTCCTCGTTCCTTTTCAATTTTCACCACTTCATTATGGCACCCGTGGCACAAAAGGAAGAAATCCTTTAGGCTTTGGGCTTCCGTATCTGCCGCACAGTATAGGCACATAACAGGCTATACCTCTCGACCGAGTCCCGTTCTTTTGGACTTTCAAAGTAAATAAAAGAAAATAAGTCATCCAGGAAATTTGTCATGTTCTGAAAGATTTCAAAACACAGTAACAATTTCTAGTTAGTGTGCAGCAATTTGGGGGATTTTGAGTGCCTGATAATTTGCCAAAGTAGTGGCTGTTGTGACTGGTGGGATAGTTTTAGTAAAAAAAAAATTTTCCTAAGCATAAAAAAATACAAAATTGAATCTTGGGCATTCTAAAGAGTGTAGATATCAGAGAGGTAATTAAGAAAAAGCAAAGTATCTTATTTCTTTTTTCTGGGGTTTACTGTTCTGTTTATGCGTGATTTGCATAATAAATCTTTCCCCCAACTCAAATTACTTATCACTCAGCTCTTCCTCCGGACATCTGCTTTCATTTGATATTAGCTCTCTGGGCCCCTCGAAGGGACTCGGTGCTTTAATCAGCTCCTGTAAGGGGGCCTGGAAAAGGAAGGCCTAACAAATAAATGTATTGGGTCCAGGGTTCTGCTGCTCTTGCTCTGACATTGATTTTGTCTACTCTTTAACTTCCTCAAAGCACTTCCAAAAACATGCGATGGAGTTCTTATTCTCTCCCTGTCAATTATTTGCTATTTGCCCACTTCAGAAGAGAAAAAATGTCCAGCTCAGAAATATTGAGGAGGGAGTTGCTGTCAGAGTCCGCTCTTGGTTTTGTCACAGCTTTGGGATGGGGTGTTTGCGGGAACCCCCGAGCGGAGTCTCATAGGCTGAGGGTAGACACTGGCAAATACGTGCCTCTTTCATGTGCCTTATTGGTCCTACTGTGCATTGCTGCCCTACTGACCGCCATCCGGGCCTACTCTCCGAAGCATGTGGTTGGGGTGGGAGAATACCAAGCCAGTCTGGTACCTTTTTGTATTCCTTCCCTGGAGGGCAGCCGTTCTGGGACTCATAGGCAGCTTTACCTATGGCCGGCCCCATTTTGAATTTGGGCACTTCTCCCTTTTTTTGGTTCAAAGTCAAGAGCCATGAATACATGATCCCCATACAATAATGAGATCACATAGTCAGGGCTGACAGCCAGTATCTTTCCATCTCTCGCTTGGTCAAGGAAGGTCACAGAGCTTGAAAGAGGCTAAGAGACTTGCCCAGAGTCACACTCTGGTTGGTGGTAGCGTTGAACTTGAACCCCATACAGTCTGATTCCAGAGCCCCAGCTCCTGACTGTGGTATTCTAGGTGACAAAGTGCTCTTGCGTGGCTAGGAATGGAAAAACAGATCATTTGGTGGACATGCTTTCTGTTATCAATTGGACAGCTCCCCTTTCCCATCTCTCCTCCCCCTTACCCTCCCCCCCAGTCCTCACTGGGCCTGGAGCTGTGCCTTGTAACAGTGACAGAGCTTCGGAAAAGACAGACTCAACGTTAGCCTCAGGGGGGTTATCCGCTGCTGGCGAGTGAGATTCTAGTGTTGTGTGCTAAATAGAATGATGATTGGGATATGTACAGCGGAGCCTGATGATTGATATGATTAATTTGTATTATGTATTAAGAGCCTATCCCATTTCACTCATTCACAGATTTATTGAATTGAGACTAGGAGCACAGAAAACAAGTAAGGGCTTTTTTTTTTTTTTTTTTTCCTGGCAGAACACTTCCCACTTAAAGCTCACCTCATTTTCCTCTTTTGTAAGGATAACGAAGCAGCAGAATCGCTACATTGAAATTTGATGTAAAACATTTCAGCCCTAAAGGACTTTAACGATCGCTGCGACCTTGAAAGCCCACTTATGAACTTCTCCTTTGCGGGGCAAGACTCAGATCCACAATTGTATCTTTGCTCCCTCGAAAAAAGGCAAAAACAGCATGTTTCTTTAAAGAGGCCCAATTGAAAAGCACTGCAACTTCTTTATAATGATGTATCAATAGTTGCAATGCCTCCCACCACC